GAACGCGCGGCGGGAACGAACGTGTGCCGTATGACGTTCGCACGCGCGCGCGCGCGCGTGCGTGAGACGGAGAACGACGGAGAAGGAAAGACCGGAGAGAATTCGTCCAGGAGAGATAATCGCCGTTCGCCCTCGCGTGTTAGCTCGTCCTGCGGGATCAAAAGTGTCGACACGTAAATATGTGAGACGTCGGACAGAGCCGATTCGCTCCGTCAATGCGAGGAAGGGCCATCGGTCGAGAAAGAAAAAAAGAAAAAAAAAAAGAAAAAAAAGCGGACGATCCCGCATTCCAAGGGCACGCGCCGACGAGCACATTCGTCTAATCTCCGTGCGATGTTGACACGTGAGAGAGGCAATCGGAGGGGCCAAATTAAAAATGACCACAAACGTTCGCGCTCGCGCGCGTTATGAGCACACAGAGAGAGGGAGAGAGAGAGAGAGAGAGAGAGAGAGAGAGAGAGAGAGAGAGAGAGAGAGAGAGAGAGAGAGAGAGAGAGAGCCTGCGGCACCGCGCGCGCGCGCACCAGCCGCGTATAAAATCCCCAGTCATATAAATCGTCGCGCGACACGATGTCTTATCTTAATAACGCATTTTTCTTCGGTATACTACCCGCTGCTACGGCCGTCGGCCGTATATCGTCGCCTTGATAAATGCAACGGTGCGAAGGTCGCGGTAGCGCCATGCCACGAAGCGAGGCGCGTCGGTGAGAAAGTCTCTCTTTCTCTCTCGCTCGTTCTCTAAGACGCTCGCCTGAAATATACTCGTCGTTTCGTCGCGTTGATGCTCGTACAGATACGCGCCGATAAGCGTAACGTTCGGCTTGGCCCTCGCCATCGCCGTGCGCGACGCGCGACATTACCGCGGAGAAAGAAAGAGAGAAAGAAAGGGAGCCGGGGTGCTTCCTTAATTACGAAATTGCCGAGGCGCGCCGAGGTACGCGCGCTTGATCGCGACCGCCAATTAGTGCTTGCCGTCTCGAAATTCGTTTCCGCGCGGTGAAAACACGACTCGCGTCGCGCCTATCCGCTTTCCATCGCCTACCAAAACCGCGCGCGTCGTCGTATCGTTCATCGACGGTCGACTTGAAATCGAGGCTCAATAATCCTTCGTCATTTTCCAAAAGAGATTCTCCTGCGCTACGAGCGGATTGCAAATCCGACCGATCAAGCAGAAGGGACGGGGGGAAGCGGCTTGAACGTTCGCAAATGATCATTTAGGACACGGTGAAATAGCCGCTAATTTATTTTAATTATCCTTGCGAAACAACCTTGAGGACGAGAGACGGGCGAGAGGGGGAAGATTCGCGGTAGTCGTCGAGCGATCGCTCATTGGCAGATCCGTTATTGTCGTCGCTCGACGAAAAAATGCGCGGTGATCTTCGTTAAGACTGGACGAGAGCTGGTCGCGTGGGACGTTTCGTTGATGATGATGTCTCATTAAGCGCGCGGCTTCGCTACCCGAGGTTATCGGTTTAACAGAATGGAAAGGAGAGCCCCCCCTCCCCCCTCCACACTAACAACCGTTCGAAGAGAACCGTCGAACCCGCCGTGCCGAGCGGCGCATAATTCCGACATAATTTTCCATTACGAAACAAGCGCGCAAGTTTGCACGCCGTCGTTTAGGGCGAGATACGCCGACGATAATTAGCTCGGCGTAATCGGCCGGCGTGTTTTCGCCTCTCAAGTGCGCGCGCTACATCCGCGAATGAGCGGTAAGAAATTCATTATACCGCTTTATGACGCCGCGAAATAGAGACGCGATCGGGAGACCAGACATGTCTTTCTCTCTCCCTCTCTCCTTCTCTCTCTCTCTCTCTCTCTCTCTCTCTCTCTCTTTCTGTCGACGTAATTTCTTGGCGAACGTCGCATCCGGAGACGCTCGAAATATAATTTCATTAGCGCGCGAATTTCGTGCTTTAATGTTTTAATGCTCGTCACAGCATTCGGTGTGAGACGTTTACGTAAAAATAGCATAATAGACGTGCCGATAAATATAGCGATGAGAAAGACCCCATTGCATTTCTCCAACTCGGACATAAAATGTATCAATTGTATCTTTGTGCTCATCGAGAATTATCGTTTTATGAGAATTGCCGCGGAGCCAATTAAAAGAAAAGGAGAGAACTCAGTGACGTGAAAACATGTCTCAACGATATTTCCAATTTCCCCCGCGCGCGCGCGCGCGCGCGGCCGGTTCTCCATTATCCGAGATGTCCGTCCCGTGGAGTGTCGAGTTACGCTCGAACCGACGTCAAAGAGAAGCGCAGGAATAACGTTTATCCGACAAGAGAAAGAGAACGAACGGAAGGGCAGGACGGTAGAGGCGCGAGAAGGATTACGATGGATATTCAGTAAAGCCTCAAATCAGCCCGCGCCCTTCTGGCTACGAGAATTTACGATTGTCCACGCGAAAGCGTAGGTAATCGCCGATGATATCACCGTTATAAATAGGCACACGCCTCCTGTCTCTCCGCGTATATGCGTGCGTACACGCGCGCGCGCACACACACGCTCGCACACGCGAATCGGCACCTACTTGTCCGCACGAATGCCCGGCGACGGCTGCCTCTTTCCCGTAGACCGCCACGCGCGCGCACGCACGCACGCACGCACGCACGCACGCACACACACACACAGGTGATCGGGCGAGGTATCGGGCTTGAAATTCGCGTTCGCCGAACTTCTCGCGAGTCTCAACTCGGCGAGAATGTCGAAAAATTGTCGCGAGAACTCGTTGCCCCGATCCGCTCGTCGAGTTCGTTCGCACATTATTCCACGTCCTTTTCTAACACAAGCGAGAGCCTAACTTCGATATCAAGTCGCCCAGACGTTCTACATATGCGAAAATATTCGCAGACTTTCCAACTGTGTACGCCTTTCTCGTGCGCGCGCGCGCGCGCGCGCGATTCCCCGGAGTTTTCGACACGTTCGCGTCCGATTTCAGGAGACGTGAGTCGCGCCATTGTCGATGTCCACGGACCACCACCACGGAGGTGACACATGGTCGTCGCAGTTGTTTCAGGTGCGCACGTAAAAGCGGTACATGCACATTGTTCAAGCGGCAGTACACACGTGCCGCTGCTGCTGCTGCTGCTGCTGCGCGCGTTCTCGTCGCACGGCCGGCCGTGCGCGTCCTTCGCGCAGGCCGTGAAGGGAGAGCGTCTCGACTGGCCGATGGCAAGAAGTAATTACGGAAAAAGGCGACCGATAAACGCGACAAAGTGACGTTCTAAAGACCGCGCGCGCGCGCGCGCGCGCGACGGCCCGGGATTTTAATGAGGACTCGGCGAATCGACGTGCGTCGCACACACCGGGCGGAAAAAGCGCTCGGCGCGCGAACGCTTGCGGCGCGTAGCTTCTCGACACTTTCGAAAGCCGGTGTATCGATATGTGCCTCCTCGATCGTCGGGCTCGTCCTCCTTCGACGCTCGGATTTGAAGAATTGCGAAGGGAAACCGCGCAGGGACCGCATTGTCGCGTGTTTCTCGCGCTGCGCTTCCTTCGAAGCGACGCGGAGAAAACGGTGGGAAGATTCCACGAATTCTCGCTCATTATCGGCTGAGACATAATCGCGTCCACCGCCATTATTTTCGTCTGTCGTTGAGCGAGAAAGGAGGAGAGCAAAGGGAAACACTAGAGAGGAAAGAACCGAGAAAGCTCGTGGGTCGAAGACGAGAGCGAGCATCGGCCGCGTCCGATACTTCTCCTCCTATCCCGCTCGTGGGAAGTCGCGCGTTCCGAATACAAAACGGGGAACGATCGGCGGCCGATTACCGGCGCCGCCGGCAGTGGCGGGGCTTTCGTAGTGGTAGCAGCGCGCGCTAGCGGAAGTGGCGAATGGTCCGGAGAGCTGCACTTTGCGCGGCGATAAAAGCTCCGCCGCGCGCGCACTTGTTGCCGTATAGAAAAAATCGCCGCGGATCCCGAATCGATAAGCGCGCGAGCCGCGGCACCGGCGCGGTGCTCTCGCGCGCGCCGCTCGGCGCCGTGCCGAATAACGAGCGGATGATTACAGTCGCGGTGGGCAGATAATGGCGAGGCCCGACAATGTTAAAAAGAGCCTTCTCTCCGCCGCGCCGTGTTCCCTCGATTACAGGCGCCTTCGCGCGGAAGGATGCTCCCTTCCGCGCCGCGAAGATGCGGCTCGCGCGCGGGGCACCACGACGGCTCGCGAGTATGTGTGTGTGTGTGTGCGTGTGCGTGTGCGTGCGTAACTGCAACGACGCGCGTTACGGCGACGCGCCGCATAATAATCGCGAATCCGCGCGCGCTCGCGCGATTATTCGATCGGAAGCGCAAGTCGTCGGACCGTTAGGTCGCTCTGTTCATTGTTTATTCCGGGCGACGGCGAGGAGCCCGACGCTTCCGTCTCCGCGGCACGGCGCGGCGGGCTGGATGGAGCGCGAGAAACGGTGACGTGTGATTAAAGTGGAGCTATGCGCGGAGGAGCGAGCCGACCGGATCTTAAAATATACACGGAGTTATCCCGGGAGCGTGCCTAATACCTTTTCTCCCTTATTTCGACGCCCGACGCCGATATAACTTGACCTAATGCTCGAGAGACGTGATATACCCGCACAATGGAAACTATTACAATACAAATTCTTTCCTTCCGAACCAGGTAAAAATAAATCAAGAAACAGACAAAAGGAAACGTCATAAGAAGGGATTCGCGGAAAATTATTGATTTTTCTTAATCACCCTTCGAATGGGTCGATCGTCAAGCACGGAGGATTCTCGGGCTCGTGACGCTTTTCGTCGACGAGAGGACGGCCGACATTTCTTTCTCGACGGATCTCGCGCGTACGCAACGCGCAACATGAGATCGCTCGAGATGTCAATCGAGCCTGAGGGAAAATTCCAACAGGCCGGGCCTGACGCGGTCGACGATAAATCAAGAGCGAGCGAGCGGACAGGCGAATCCGTCTCGAAAATCTCTACCGACAGGCACGGGGCCGGATCAATATTTCCGGCGGTAAGTGAAAGATGCGTGTACTCACATTCTTTGTTGCGGTCCATGGCGTGCTGGAGCGGTGAATCGTCGACCTCCGCCTTCGGCGGCGACTGATTGCCCTCGGCCATCTCCGATCCCGATCCTGGAACACCGGCGGCGGCCTTCCTGCCCGCGACAACGCTGTCCGCCGCTGCTTTATCCTGCTGCGGCGATGACTTTGTCCCTTTCTTGCCGTTTCCAGCGTCCCTGCAAGAGCAAAACGTCGCGTTTTGCGGATTAAACTTTCATACTCGTCGTCGCGTCGCGCCGCGTCGCCTCGCGGGCGCTTTCCGGCGAGACGACGATCGGAGGATGAGGAGGAAGAGTGAGCCCCGCCGGCGATCGGAGCGAGTGTCAATCGCAACCCGGGGTCCTTGTAAACGCGCCGAGGCATGTTTTTGTCGCGGATGACGGAATGACGGATCAATCAATCGACACTCAGCACGACGTTTTCATCAGAAAGCGTCGGAAACGGCCGCTCTTCCTCTCTCCCCGCAAGTCTCCGTCCGAGCAAGAAACGTCCGCGTCTGAACGACCGCGCGGAAGGAAAATTTATGTCCCGAGCACGCTCGCGAGTTCGCGCGAATTCGCATCACGGTCTTAAATTGAAACCGCGATATCGAGCGGCGAAGGAGACGAGGCGCGCCAAAGAATCGCGAGGAATGACGTTTATCGGACGCGTTTCTCTATCGTCGCGGCGCCTGCTTGTCGAATATAATTTCCCGTCGACTCGTTTCCCTAATAACGTGAGCACCGTGTGAAATAACCGCGGCGTAAATATCGTGCGAAATGACCGCGATATTAGCATAATATGTCGCAATGACTTTGGCCAGAGGACAAAGAAAAAGGGTAAAGAGCTAGAGAGAATAAACCTCGTGTCGCGATCCTCTGCGACGAAAGGGTAAAACTAACAGTTTCGGTCGCGCCGAGGGGTGAAAACGTTTATCCGCATACAGACGCAGCGATCGGCCACCGATCGTCGTCGTCGAAATGTCACACAGCAGATTCGGCTCATCCTCGAAAAGTTCAGAGAAAATTGCGCGAGCGCGAGTCCGCTCGGCTCCGAGAAGAAGGAAGAGGAGGAGGAGGAGGAGGGGGGGGGCAAGGAAAGTGGCGAGCCGATTAAAGATCTCGAAGAGCGTCGAGGCAACGATCCACGAGGTAGTTTAAGATCCCGAGGGGAAAGTTCCGAGAAAAGATTACTCGTCACAGCTGGAGATAGGAAGCCGGTCGTTAAGAGCGTTTATATTCTCGCGTAACGATTACCACGCGGCGCTGATACTAAATTGCGGGTTAATCGTCCGCTTCGGCCGGCGCGGCCCTAGCCCCGCGATCTCGCAACGCCGCAGCGACGGATTAAGGCGCTAAGAGGCCCAAGGACCGCGAGAGCACGCGGGGACTTCGATCTCGAAGTCACCTCGCCTCGAGCGCCGTGAAAAAAATTTCACAGGTCGCTCACAGCTTCGATGTTCCGTCGTTGCGAGCAAGCGTTATCGTAAAATACTGAGCGACTGCGGAAATGCAGGAAGAAATAATCAGCGAGACTTCGAGCGGCGACGATTTCCGTCCGAGAAAGATACCGATAAATTCAACAAAATTAAACTAAATGGACAAAACATCAATATGGATAAATTTAAATCAGAAACTGGGCGGAGTTGGACGAAAAGATTTCTAAACGGATCCATTCGACTGAACATCGTCGTGGATTAAATTAGACAACACCGAGTCGACATTTCTTGCACTTCGAAGGATAATGGCGAGTTTCCAAGGTTCCGAGAGCCATCCGAGTCCTCGTGGGGGCCTTATCCGCCTAACGCGAGCCCGTCATCTCGCTTCTCGCAAGTTATTTTGCAAGGTCGCCGGCGCCACGCTCCGCGCGTCGCGGATTAATAGAAATAATGTCCCGCGCGGTAATGACGCGGGCGCGATGCGACAAAACGTTAGGGTGGAGCCAGACGGAGCTTGTTAAAATAATCGAGGCAGGTGCCGAGCGACGACGCGTCTATTTTTCGATCGCGATAACGCCTGCCGCGATCGGCAACGCGCTTGTCTCGTGCACTTTGTCTCCTTCTATTTATATGCTGCGCGAACGCGAACATATAATATACATACCGGTTATTGCCGTTGAGAGCCGGTAGAAAGTGATAACGCGTACCGCGAGAATATTCTCCTCTCGAGCGTTTTCGTTATTTCACGAGGTTTTATTAATATTCCGGATAGGTATAACCTCTCTCTCCCTCTCTTTCTCCTTCTTTCTCACTCGCTGTGTTTCTCTCTCTCTCTCTCTCTCTCTCTCTCTTTACCGTCGCGGTGCGGCATGCAAATTGTCTCACCTCTGGTCCTTGGCGTCGCGCTTAGGGTCCTTCCTGTCCCGGTCCTTATCCTTGTGGCCGTCCGACTTTTTCGTCTTGGACTTCGGCTTGGCGACTTCGCCCTTGGCGACCTTGTGCTCGCCGCCGCCGCCGCCGCCGCCGCCGCCGCCGCTGCTGCTAACGACGACCACGGTGGCGCTGTCGCTGCAGGATTGCGCGCCGGAAGTGCTCGAGGACGTGGAGGAGGAGGAAGAGGAGGAGGAGGAAGAGGAGGAGGACGACGACGAAGACGACGTCGATGCTCGGCTGTTGGTGTAATCCTGCAATGAGAAGAGCGTGTCTTGTTATCTCGGGTTCCTTCAGCGAAATGGACAGGTGGGGCCGCGATAAGCGAGCGGAGTGCAGCCGAGGTGCTCACCTTAAACCACTCCGGATAGATCGCGCTGATGGTGTCCAGAAGATCTTGGTCGAGCTGAATCCTCCAGAACGGGGAGCCGCTGTCCAACCTGTGGCCAGACTCTGAAATTGGAGCGAGAAAAAAAGACTTAGCAGCTTAATGTAACTCGCGAAGTACGCACATGTGATTAATCAAAGTGCAATCTTACTTGTAAATAAATATATTATTCACGAAAAGCTTATTATCGATAAAACTCTCGCAATCAGTAAAAAAGAAAGAGCTGATCGCGTGACATTTATAAATAGAATTCTTTATATCGCGAGAAACCTCGTTAGTTTATAATGAGACTTTCCTAATATCAAAACTCCAGTTCTTCCAGTTCTTTCCTTTTTAGAACACCAATGTCCTATCCGAGTGAAAAGTCAATTGAGACATTGTTAAATTACACCGTTCGGGAAATCATCGTGTCGCTCGCTGGGTGGAATAACCGCATTTTTCTCAAACTTGAAGAAGAAGAGCAAGTCCCCTTCTGCCGCGTAATCATTTAATCTCTAACCCCGATATTCGGCATCTCCGACGTCACGTCATCGCGGACAAGCAGGATTTAGAATGTGCAAGTTTCGAAGTCGGAGCGCGCGAAGGATCGCGAGTCAGGGTCCTTAAGAGTCATTCCCGCCGCATAAGAGCTAATAGTACCTCATGAGCGATACGCCCAAAGGCGTATCAAAACCCCGCGGAATGCCGGCCCCGTCGTTTCTTTCGCGCATTCCGAGGGATTCCCTGCCTAATTTAAACGTTCGCCCGTACCGGTCGCGATCGAGGGGATCACCCGGTGGGACCTCGGAGAGACGGAGGACGACGACGACAACTACGTGGACACTCAGGGACCGCGTGGGGACTTTGTATCCTCGCGAGGACGCAGAGGACGAGAATAGGAAGGGAGGAGGGAAAGGAGAAGCCTCTCCTTGTTACGACGACATTCTACGGACGGGCGAGACGCGTGCCCTGCCTCCATGATCGAGGATCGAAGAGCGAGAGACGAAAAAGGAGGACCGTCGTTCCCGAGGGACTTTCGAATACCCCGGCCGCGACAGAAACGCGATTTTTGCGACGCGCCGCGCCGTTAGGGCGAACGCGCTTTCTAAAGCGTAACCACGTCGCGGCTGGCCGGCTGCCCGTGCCTCCGGTTTTACGTAAACCACGCCGGGAACCCGGTAGCGTAATGTCTATTTTGTAACGTGCGCTTGAGCGTGCGTGCGAGCGAGCGAGATACTTCAAGAAGAGAAAAGCAGTTCGACGAACTACAAAGAGAAGAGGAAAATGAGATGTTTGTAATTTCAAGCTCACGTGTGCAGTAGTGAGGGACACGTGGAGGGTTATTTATAACACCGTTATCGTCGCAAGTTACGTGTTTCTTTTGATCAACGACGACTCGGTAACTGCGTTATCGCTTTTCGTCAACGATAATGCGAAATTATTCTCCACAAAAATAATTTCTATTAATTTTATCTTACAAATTATCTTACGAACATTTCTCTGATAAGAGAAAAATTGAGGAAAAAGAACTGCCTGTGATAATTAAGAAACCGAGAAGAAACCAAGGACCCAAAGAGGGAACATTTTAGCCGCAGAAAAACTGAACCGCGAGACTTGCGACCTGTACCTTAAGCAGTTTCCGCAAACGAGCTCCCCGCGATTTCGTATTCCCAAGAGACGCCGGGGTACAGGACGGGATGAGGACGGGAAGGGACAGAAAGAGGGTAGGCGAGCTCGAAGGAAGAAAAGGAAAATCGGAGCGCATCCTGCGCGCGGCGGCGGGAAAAGACGGGGAATTTCACCTTAACCCAATAAATGATCGGCGCGCCGCGGTTACCGCGAGGGAGAGCGGCATAAATGCTCAATCAGTATGCGCGCGCGCGCAGCGGCGGCGGACAATCCGCTGTAAATCACGCGCCGTGAATCATTCGCCGACATAAATCTAGCCGCGGTTCGATCAATACGCTCCTAACCGGTCCGACACATTAGTTAAAGCGCGATGTTAGTCGTCGTCGTCGTCGTCGTCGTCGTCGCCGTTCACAGGACACACACGCGCGTCTCGAAGGGTTCACCCGTGACGTCTGCCCCCCCTCCCCCTCCGTGCTCCGTTCCGCCGGCGAACGGTTCGGGAGAAAAAGTATCGGCGATGTCGATGGCCTAATAGCGGCGACCCGGGGGAATCCACGCGAGAGGACGATACATCATCGGCGAGATCCGCGTCTCCGAGCGTTTATCGGGCCGACCGGAGGACGTCGTCGCGATCTCCCGCTCGGGGTTAACGACACGAATCCGTCGATGTCAACCGTGTGAGCTATTGCCGTTGTTATCAACACGTCCGCCGCCATTCCGCGATCATGTCCGCCGATCATTTCGATGCCCGACTTTGAGTCGGGCAGAAGATACGAGGGTAAACTAATGTTAGTGTGTTGGACGAAAAGTGATATATTCAGGAAAGCTCCGCTGATACGCTGCAACGAGATCAAAGAAAAGGCCCCTTTTTTTCCTCCCGTTTCAACATGTTAAAGTCTACTTGGCACCGTTCTCAAGCGTGAAGCTACGTAAGACGGCGAAATGGTAAAATCACGAAGACGGAGCACGGACGAAGTGCGCGAGTGGAAAATAATGATATTAGGGTAAAAAAGAAGAGATACGCCGAAGGACGCCGTCGACACGAGGACGAGGCCGGCGACGGAAAAGCAAGCATCTCTAATGCGCAGAGCTCAAACCTCCTCTCCCTGTCTCCATCTCCTGCGTTGTCACGGGATATGCGATATATATTCCGCGCGAGAGATCCCGAATACGAAATGCATTCCCCGAGAGCGGCGGCGGCGGCGGCGGCCGTCGAAATTCGGCCGAATAAATCTCGCGCTTCCCTTTCCCCTTTTTTCCGCCCTTCAGGCTCCTCCTCCGCACTCCAGTTGCACGCGCACACGCACACGCATACACGCGCGCGCGCGCTCGAAGGAGCACGTGCGTGTTTCGCTCTAGCGTCTGCCTCGGAGCCTCTGAGTCACTCTCGTCACAGGCCCCGCTGCACCGGTAGCCGCGAAAAACTGCACGCTGCACTTCGGGAATGTCGTCGGCATGTACAGGGTGTTCCCCTTCGGCACGGCCGTTGACGATACGCCCGACAAGAACGGCGCGCGTTAGCGCGAGCGGCTTCGCTTCGCTCGAGTCGCTTCTCCCGGGTTGTTTCTCTCTCTCTCTCTCTCTCTCTCTCTCTCTCTCTCTCTCTCTCTCTCTCCTTCTATCTTCCCTTCCCTCCGTGAGTCTCCTCCTTTTTGCTCGCCATCCCCTTCGTGGAATCAGCGAGGAGCGATCTTCCTCTCGGCCGATGATCGTTACAACTCGCGGAGGAGTATCGCGGTTCGGATCATCCGTCCATCGCTGCCATCATCGCTGCCATCTCGCGGAGCTCGAGAATCAGGCAACCACTGATACGATGATGATTTCGACTCGACAGAATGCCCCTCCGAAGAGAAGAAATGAATGTAAAATGACCCGGTTCCGAGGGACCGGGAAACCGGCACGAAAATTAAGCACGGAAGCTGTCATTGAAGGGACAGGAATGGAAAAGGGAAACCGCAGACTCGGTGTGTGTGTGATGTAGTACCTCGCGTATTAATTCTCAAACGAAAGTACTTCGTCTTCGTGCTTCTTCTTCTTGCAGCACGTGCGAGTTAGCATGCGTAAGATATGATAAATGCGCGACCAAGTGGAGTTATAAGACCGCGGCGGGGGCGGCCGGGCGCGGCACGGGGGAGGAGAATTTAATTTCGTTGCGTTTTATTGTGCTGCTCGAGTTAAACGTGTACGACGAGAGAGAGAGAGAGAGAGAGAGAGAGAGGCGGGCTCGCACGCACGATCAGGCTGGAGAAAGGATTCGGGTGGAAGGCACGAGGAGAGCACGAAGAAAACGGAGAGGAGCCACTTCCCTCTCTCCCTTCCCTTCCTCTCGCTCCCCGCGGGAGGAGGTTCTCTCACAATAGCCGTAAGCTTTGCCGCTCATTAGAGGCGAGGTCGTGGGTCACGTGGAACCGCCGCTTTGTACTTTGTGCCTGTATGTAAGTTACGTACAAACAATATTCCACGCACGGAGATGCTCTTTCCCCCCCGGCTCTCTCTCTCTCTCTCTCTCTCTCTCTCTCTCGTTGCGCCGAAGGATTGTCTTACCGCGGCTGGCTCGCGCCAGATTCGCCCGATCTAGCGGTCGGCGACGCTAATCCGCGTTAGCGATTTTAATCGGAACCGCACGCACATATTACGTCTCACGTATCGCGTCTTCGCGATTTATCATACGCGATCGCGTAACAGAATAGGAGAAAAAAAGAAAGATAGAAATGTAAAGCAGCCTGTCGTTTGTTCATCGCGTGACTGGAACAACCAGATACGCTTATAGTGTACATGGGAAAAAAACAGCTGCCGTAGCTAAAAACTGCGTGTGGTAACTAAATTTTGGTCGTAAAATATGGACAGCTACTATTTTAGCTGCGATAACTATTCCACTTCAGTTGAAAGAGTTTAGCTACTTGATATACTACGATTAGCTACAGTACACATTTTAGTTAGCAGCTATCATCACATGTATTGCATCAATTAATTGTGGCGTGCATTAATTGGGATATATAATTGTATGTATGTATATATTGTAGTTACACAAACACAATTTCAGCAAACTATTATTATACTGTAAGAAATGATGTGTTAAATTTAACATATTTCATGTGTCTCAAATCATCCACTCTCATTTATATATTAATTTAACATATAGCAAATATATTAAAAAGTAACACACATAATATATAAAAAATGAACACAAAAATTTAACATTTGAATGCCGTCAAGAACCACAGTTCGCGTTAAATTGACATACAATGAATGTTACCTCAACTTTGGGAAAAATAATGATCTATGATTTGATGAAATGAAAATGTTAGATTGACATAATCTATGTGTTAAAAACCCAATCTTTACATACCAGAAATGTTATTACATTATACATTTAAAATGTTAAGTTAACACAATCAATGTTATAATGAAGAAAGTAACACATTTTGGTGTTGACTTTAACATATAAAATATGTCA